TTAGAAAAACAGTAAGGGACATGGAAAGTACACCAGGGGGAAACAATTATGCGTAGTACTAACTCTGAAAAGGAGAGCAGAACAGAGGGTAAGGAACTGAAAAAAAAAAAAAAATTAAAGGAAAATTTCCCTGAACCAGACATCTGTCTTTAGATTAGACGCTTTCAGCAATTGTAGAAAAATACACTAAAAATCTCTAAACATACACGTATTCTGATATGAGTATTTTTGTCTTTTGAGACAGGGTCTCACTGTCTTATCCAGGCTGGAGTACAGTGGCAGGATCATAGCTCACTGCAGCTTCAACCTCCTGGGCTCAGGTAATCAGGTGATCCTCCCACCTCAGCCTCTCAAGTAGCTGGGACTACAAGGCACATGCTAGCCACTACACCTGGCCGAGTTTTTAATTTTTTGTAGAGATGAGGTTGCCCATGCTGGTCTTCAACTCCTGGGCTCAAGCTTTCTGCCTGCCTCAGCCTCCCAAAGTATTGTGATTACAGGCTTGGTGGGATTATGCCACTGTGCCCAGCCTGATATGGTTTTTTAAAAAATATATAAAGAATAAAGAAAAATTTTTAATGCATGCAAGCAGAAATTACAATATATCTAAAATGAAAAAAAAAAATCAGATGGCAGCAGATTGCTTCACTAAACTGAATGCCAGAAGACCATGGAACAAGGTCTAAAGAATTTAGAGAGAAAATGATTGTTATCTAATAGCTCTACAGTTAGCCAAACTATTTTTCAGAAGCTAAAGCATTCATTTAATTTTATCTTTTTATTGCTTAGTGATTTTTTCAAGTCATAATGTATTTATTTTATTGAGGTAATAACACTTAACATGAGAGCTACATGCTTAACAAGTTTTAAGTGTACAATACATTATTGTTAACTATAGGCACAAAGTTGTAAAGCAGATCTCTAAAGTTTATTCATTTCATTTCACTGAAACTCTATGCCTATTGGTTAACAAGTCCCCATTACCTCCTCCCTATAGCTTTGTATGCTTCATGTTAGTGAAATGATGCAGTACTAGTCTGTTTGTAACTGGCTCATTTCACTTAGCATAAGTCTTCAAGGTCAGCCCATGTTGTTGCGTATTACAGAATTTCCTTTTTGCATAAAGTTGAATAGTATTCATATATATGTATATATATGAATAAATATATATAATGTTCTCTATCCATTATTCTGCCAATGGACATTTAGGTTTTTTCCACATCTTAGCTATTATAAATGAATAGTGCTTCAATGAATATGTAAATGGTAATAGCTCTTTGAGATCCAAATTTTATTTTTTTATATATACACAGAAGTGGGATTCCTGGGTCACATGGTAGCATTATTTTTAATTTTTGAGAAGTGTCCATACTGTTTTTTATAGCGGCTGTATTGGCAAAACCAAACCAAAAATAAACAAGTGGGACTACCTCAAACTAAAGAGCTTCTGCAGAACAAAACAGACAATCAACAGATTGAAAAAGGAAACTATAGAATGGGAGAAAATATTTTGCAAACCGTATATCTGATAAGGTGTTAATCTCCAAAATATATATGAAATTCATATAACTCAATAACAAAAAATGAATTACATAATTTGAAAAATGAATTAAGTACTTGGACATTTCTCCAAAGAAGACATACAAATGGCCAATTAGTATATGAAAAATTGCTCTATATCACTAATCATCAGGGAAATGCAAATCAAGACTACAACAAGATATCATCTCACACCTTTAAGGATGGCTATCATCAAGGAAATGAAAAACAAGTAATTGAGATTTATAGAAGACTGATCAATAACAGCAGGATTAATATTCTTTACAAGTGCTCAATGGAACTTTCACCAAGATGAATCATGAAACAAATCTGAATATATATTTTTTAAATTTAATTATGCTGAGTCTGTTCTCTGACCATAATGGACTCAAACTAGAAGGAAGTAACAGAAATACAATAGTAAATCCCCAAACATTTGGAAATTGAAAAACACATCTGTAAATCTGTAAATACTCTGTGGATCATATGGTGGAATATTATATAGTAGTGTGTTAGTTCACATTTTTTCTCAAGTCTGCTTTCAGTAATGTCATGTTAGTGATAGTAGCAGTGGCCCATCTAGAGGGGCCACTGCCAAGATGCCAGATGCAACTGGGAGGGGGGCCTGGGCCTCCTACTCCACAGAGCAGAAAGAGCCTCCATCCTCCCCAGGTGCTGCTGCAGCTGCCCTGCCCCAGCTCCAGACTCAGGTATCCCTGCCCTCCTCAGGCTCAGAAGTGCCTGCTCCCACTGCCTGGCCTCTCCCTGCTCCCAGCACCTTCTCCAATTGTGGAGCAAGCTTGGGGCCAAACCTGGGCACTGTGACAGCCTAGCCAGGTGGGTGCACAGTTGAGGAAACACTGACACGCCAGCCTCTGGCTGTCTCAGCCCCTTCTGGTCTTTGGGTGTTGAGGAGCATGGGAAGGAAGCTGATGAGGGGCTAAGGGCAGCTCAGTGCTGGCCTGCAGATGTCCCTTGGCATTAACAGCCTGGGTGCCATGAACAGCTGCAGCAGGTGCCAGAAGGCAGACAGGTTCTTGGGCAGAAGGAGGTGGGTCCCCATTGAAGACCAACCTTCAGGCTGGGGAAGGCCTGAAGCCTGGGACGGGGCTGCCAGTCCTGTGAACTGAAGGGGAAGCTCATGGTGCTTTTTCCTGGGCTCATCCATGGCTGCCCATGAACCAGTGAGCACACGCTTCCTCCCCTCTGAAGACCATAAAAACTCCAGACTCAGCTGGAGCAGCAGATGTCAGGAGGACCAGTTGCAGAGAGGAGCTACCCTCTCCAGGGCTTCCTCTCTGCTGAGCGCTGCAGACATCAGGATGACCTGCTTGCAGAAAGGAGCCACTCTCTCCAGGGCCTCCTCTCTGCTGAGAGCTGAGCACTCATCAGGATGGCAGCCATTCATTCCAGGCCTCCTCTCTGCTGACAGCTGCAGTGATAATGGATGATCTGTCTGCAGAGAGGAGCTATCCATTCCAGGACCTCCTCTCTGCTGAGAGATGAACACTCAATGGGACAACCTGCCTACAGAGAGGAGCTACCCACTGTGGGTCTCTTCTGAGCTGTTCTAACACTCAATGACGCTCCTCTTCACCTTGCCCACCATCCGCTTGTTGGCATATCTCATTCTTCCTGGACATAGAGGGCAAGAACTTCGGCAAAGGTGCCACCAGCCACAGAGGTTTCTGGCCAGAAAAGTGACACCCCAAAGATCCCATTACATTAGTAACTTGAAATTAGCTGTGATGGGAGTATTTACAACACATAAATTGACAAATACTACAGTCAGGCCTTTCTTTCTTTCTTTTTTTTTTTTAATAACTAAACACAACACAGGCTTAGGGTTTAAGCTGCTCCAGCAGTGTTTACCTTGGGCTCTTTCATTCACTCACTATTGGGAAAAGCAAACCATCGCCTTTTTAGCTATTGTTCTCAAATTGGCCTGCTGTGTTTTCCACTGAATATCTACCGGTTATTTTGTTGTTCTCCTGTCTTAGGTCCATCAGATTGTATGCCATTACTTTCTCCTTTTACTCACACAGATGCCTGTGTGTTTCTGTGGCTATTGGTGGTTTGTCTCCATCTACTTGGATTTTAAGATCTGTGAGAATAATTTGTCATGATGTTTTGTTATAAACATTGTTGATGGGTTTTTGGTTTTGTTATCTAGTTGCTCTGCCTGTTTTTGTGTGGAGACTATTAATAGAGACTAGCAAACTATGTTCCTTCCACCACCATTTTCTCGGATTCCCTATCTATTATTTAGATTTCAGTCTTATTAACTTTACCATATTTGCTACATTTATTTTTCAAGTATTTAAAAGTAAATAGCCACAGACATTGTTTCAATTTCCTCTGAAATATTTTAGCAGGTATGTCTTAAATAAAAAGACATTTTTCTCAACAAAAATCATCATACCACTGCCACACCTGAAAAACTAACAATAATTTTCCAATTTCATCATCTCACACTCAGCCCATACCTAGATTCCTCTTTTGTCCTGACAATAGCTTTTAGAAGTGGGATTTTTTTCAAACCAGTTTCCTTATGTTGCAAGAGTCCTTCAAGTATCTCTTAATCAAGGACGATCTTCATGATAAACCTTTTTTTCTTTTATTTTTAGATTATGATATTTTCTCTATGAAATTAAAGAGTAGTACATTTTGTTTTAGAGAGTAGTGCATTTAAGGAAATCGATATCCAGAAAAGATAAGACCATCAAAAATTCTCGTCTTCCATAACTATATTCCACCCTTCAGAGTATATGCCATTGTAATTTGTGTTAAATATTTCAAAAGTAAGTAGTGAAAATAATGTATTAATAAAATTCTTTGTGCCTATCATTTAGCTTCAACAATCATTGACTAACTACCCTTCTAGTTTTCATCAATTCTTCTACACTCCATTTAAGTGACTATAATTTAAACATTTTGGATTACATCTTTTCCAATGTCCTAGGCAGATGTCACATGATACCGATGACATTATCCTAGGGAAACACATGAGAATGTACCAAGTAATACCTTGTGACTGTCACTAGAAATACAGTGGAGAGTAAAAACAAAGTTAAAGGTCATATCTATCACCAACATTGCACTCAGATATGATTGTGCCTACCAACTTTCAAAAGACATTTTGGGGACAACCATGAACATTTGCTTCTAGGCCTGGGATGAATTTTTAAAATCTTGTTAGTCTTGTTGGATATTATAATAAGAGTTTAGGATTTCTAAGAAAATACCTTTAAGTTGTGGATATGCATTCTGAGTGTTTGAATGTGAAATATTAGCAGCCCTGGACTTATCTTACAAAGGGCTAAGTCCACTGAGGGTCCCTCCCCTCTATTTCCAGGTGACTCTGGCCTTTTCCTCACTTCTCCCTCACTCTCAGAAAATTTTAATTCTGGTTTTCGCCTTTACTGGGCAGTCCAACTCAAAGAAGATAGAAAAGTTTTTGGATACTTATCTGGTAGGGTAAATACCATGATCCTGGAGGTGGTTTTCCCAGGGTGAGGCTTGTCTATTGCACTCCAAATGTGCCGACCCCTGAGATTTCTGCAAATATGGGAAACTTGACTGCATAATTTGTGGTAGTAGGGGACTGTGTTCATGCTTTCCCCTGGTCTTTAAAAAACCCAAAAAAAGAAGTATTTCTGAAGATGGTGGAAAAGCTGCAGGATGGTCACGTGTCTCCTGGTGCCTGAGTCAGGGTGAGGTTTGGGGACAGGGTACAGAGACAGCCTTTATGAGGAAATTATCCAATTTTGCTTTTATTTTACAGCTTAATTATTTGAACTGTAAAATAAATCACATAATGGCTCAGAATTCAATTAGTTAGATGAGATAAAAAGCAAATTATTTCTCTAAAATCCTGTCTCCCATTTGCCTTTTCCACAGGCAGGTGGGTAATGACTGTTATTAGATAATTTGTGTTTTTTCCAGAGATATTTTGTATATACTCAAGTGGTAGAAAACAACGTAGAGGGGTTTACACTTGCTTCTTGTTGTTGTGCTATGTCATGGAGATGCATGTGCCTAGAGTCCATAGCATAGCTGGGGCAAAGGAGTTCTTCCAAGCTCCTTCTCAGTTTCAAATGCTGTGGGCAGTCGGCCAAAACCAGGTAAATAGGAATTCTGACACCCTTTCCAAGATTAGGCCTGATGCCTGGGCAAAAATTAGGTAGAGAGGCCACAGGACAGCAACCGCAGGAACCACCCTAACCGTCTCAGGAAAACAAAACGCCTCAGGGTAGCAGTGTTCAAAGTTATTATTGGCACCGCAGAGGTCATATAATCTAGTTAGTGACTTCAAAAATCCAAAGTCTGAGCTCATAACTCTGGAGACTGTGGGTTCCGTAAGCTTGGCCCTGGGCAGATGTAGCGATGAGGACACCTAGTTCCTCCCTTAGAGGTAATTGCGGATCCTGCCTAAAAAGCAAGCATTTTAAGGCCTCAGTATTATTTATAGATGGAAAGTAGAATTTTCCTTATATTTCCATGCTTTAAATTTTTTTTTCTCTAAGTTATTGATAGAGTTTCCATACTTAAAAAATCCCATCCTAGAGGCAAAATCATAGGTCTGTATCCTGCAGGCAGAACCCTGGCTTACAGAAATAGCTGGGTGCTTGACACGCAGAGGTCACTGGGGGAGTTGGCAGCAGGGTACAGGAATAGTTAGGATATTTTTCCTCAAGTTTGTCTTCCCCGGCTTTGTGCTAATGATCATGGAGTCAGATAGGTAACATGAGGAATGCTTCTCAGTCCAAATAATTGAAACTAGGAAACCTGTGAGAAAACTGAGAGAAGACTGTAGCAAAAGTCCTCCAAAGGGCAGTGTGCTTTCCTTCACTGGAGGGCTTGCAAGCTGCCATTTGACATGCAGGTGGCAGCATTTTTCCTTTTGTCTAATGAAGCCAATCCCATAGTCACAGATTGGTCCTGTTTTCCCCAGTACCCACTAGCGGATTTTAATAGGGTGAGGCTACAGAAAGATCTCTATTGGTTTCTAACAACACCCATAGAAAATTTCAGAAACCCTCTCTTGGTTTATAAGGCCCTGTAGGGTCTCCCTTCACTCTACCTTACATAGTGCTACTCTCCTCTAGCTCACTGTATATCCTCCCTGTCCCCTGAAACATGTACTTCCCACATCCCTAGCTCAGGGTGTTTGCGTTAGCTGTTCCCTATGTCTGGAAAGGTCCCCATACCCTCTCTCCTTGGAAGCTATAGAGTTTGCTCATCTTCCTTATTTGTGGCCTAGGAAGCTCTCTGTACTTAAAGAAACACCTTCCACTTCTATCTCCCTATGCCTTGTGTTGTTTTATTTTTTACCACACAGTTACCATCTCCTAACATGATGTCAAATATTGCAATCTGTTTCTCTGTTTACTGTTTTAATTCTGTCACCCATAACAGAAGCCCACAAGATTCCGCACATGTTTTGTGACACAGCAGACACTCAATAATGCATATTCAATGAAAGCAGGATAGACACCGTGCCAGCACTTACTCCATCGCCACCTGCTTTTGAGATCTGGCTGTCTCCAACTCAATCTCTCTTTTCCTTCACAGCAGAAAATCTGGATATGAAGATTGAGAACTTGCTTAACTGAGTTACAGTAACAGTTTTTAAAATGTGAGTTTAGGGACTAAGCTAGCTGGCTTAGCTCGGAGAGAAAGGCCTGGGCTTTGATGACTCTGCATCTTCATCTGTGGAATCTGGAGGTACCTGTTACATTTTGAGAGGGAGTGGAGAGCTGAGTGCTTTGCTTACTCCATAGCTCTCTTTCTCTTCTCTGGGCCAGTGAAACAAAAAGCCAGTGAAGAGGTAAGAGAGACTTGTGCCCTCTGGGAGTCTAAACAGAAGGAAGTAGATTCATGTAAATGATGCAAGAAGAACACAATAAAGTTCCATTATATGTCTGAACCCTAAATCCCCTGCTGTCCCTAAACCCTGGAATCCAGATACTTAGATTTTTCAATATGGCTCCCAAAGCCCACTTGGGTACGCTGCTATATATTTAACTTCAACTTCTATCTCTCACCCTTCTCCCACTTTGATGACAACAAAACACTAACAGAGCACACTCCCACCTCAAGAGCTTAAAAAAACTTTTAGGTTCAGTGTTACATGTGCAAGTTTATTACACAGGTAAACTCATGTCAAAGGGGTTTGTTGTATGAATTATTTCATCAACCAGGTATTAAGCCCAGAACTGAATAACTATCTTTTCTGCTCCTCTCTTTCCTCCCATCCTCCACTCTCAAGTAGACTCCAATGTCTGTTGTTCCCTTCTTTGTGTTCATGAGTTCTCATTTAGCTCACACTTATAAGTGAGAACGTGTGTATTTAGTTTTCTGTTCCTGGTTCGTTTGCTAAAAATAATGGCCTCCAGCTCCATCCATGTTTCTTCAAAAGACATGATCTTGTTCTTTTATATGGCTGCATAGTATTCCAGAGTGTATATGTACCATATTTTCTTTATCCTATCTGTCATTGATGAGCATTTAGGCTGATTCCATGTTTTGCTATTGTGAATAATGCTGCAATGAACATACATTGTGTCTTTATGGTAGAATGATTTATATTTCTCTGGGTATATACCCAATAGTGATATTGCTGGGTCAAATGATCTGTTTTTAGCTCTTCGAGGAATAGCCATACTGCTTTCTACAATGGTTGAAATTTATACTCCCACTGATAGTGTATAAGTGTTCCCTTTTCTCCACAACCTTGCCAGCATCTGTTATTTTTTGACTTTTAATTAATAGCCATTCTGACTGCTGTGAGATGGTATCTTATTGTGGTTTTGATTTGCATTTCTCACATGATCAGTGATATTGAGCTTTTTTCTCCCCCATATTCTTGCCTACTTTTGGAATTGTATGTTCATGCTCTTTGCCCACTTTTTAATGGGTTTGTCTTTCTCTTAAAATGTAAGTTCCTTACAGGTACTGGATATTATATCTTTGTCAGAAGCAGTTTGCAAAATTTTTTTCCCATTCTGTAGGTTGTCTGTTCAAAATCTCTTAAGATTAATTAGATCTCACTTGCCAATTTTTGCTTTTGTTGTGTTTGTTTTTGGTGTCTTTCTCATGAAACTTTTGCCCATTCTTATGTCCAGTATGGTATTGCCTTGGTTGCTTTCCAGGGTTTTTATGGTTTTGGGATTTACATTTATGGTTTTGGGGTTTACATTTAAGTGTTTAATCCATCTTGAAGTAATTTTTTAAATATAGTGTAATGAAAGTGTCCAGCTTCAGTTTTCTGCATATGGCTAGCCAGTCATCATGGCACTATTTATCGAATAAGGAAACTTTTCCCCATTGCTTGTTTGTGTCAGTTTTGTTGAAGATCAGATGGATGTAGGTGTGTAGCCTTATTTGTGGGCTCTCTATTCTGTTTCATTGCTCTATGTGCCAATTTTTGTTGTTGTTGTTGTTGTTGTTTTTTCCAGTACCATGCTGTTTTGGTCACTGTAGCCCTGTAGTATAGTTTGTTTGTTTGATCTAGGGATGGAGTCTTGCTCTGTCACCCAGGCTGGAGTGCAGTGGTGCAATCTTGGTTCACTTTAACCTCCACCTCCCAGGTTCAAGCAATTCTCATGCGTCAGCCTCCTGTGTAGCTGGGATTACAGGCAAGCACCACACTCCCAAATAATTTTCAAATTTTTAGTAGAGACAGGGTTTCACCCTGTTGGCCAGGCTGTTCTCAAACTCATGACTTCAGGTTATGTGCCCAGCTCAATCCGCCCAAAGTGCTGGGATTATAAGCATGAGCCACAGCACCTGGCCCCCTGTAGTATAGTCTGAAGTTGGGTGACACAATGCTTCCAGCTTTGTTCTTTTTGCTTAGGATTGCCTTGGCCATTGGGGCTTTGTTTTGGTTCTGTATGAATTTTAAAATAGTTTTTTTCTAGTTCTGTGAAGATTGTCATTGGTAGTTTGATAGGAATAGCATTTACTCTATAAATTGCTTTGGGCCATAAGGCCATTTTAATGATACTGATTCTTCCTACCTATGAGCATGGGATGCTTTTCCATTTGTTTGTCTCCTCTGATTTCTTTGAGAAGTGTTTTGTAATTCTCACTGTAGAGATCGTTCACCTCCCTTGTTAGCTGTATTTCTATTTTATTCTTTGTATGGCTATTATGAATGGGATTGCCTTCCTGGCTCTCAGCTTGGTTGCTGTTGGTGTATAGTAATGCTAGTGATTTTTGTACATTGATTTTGTATCCTGAAACTTTGCTGAAGTTGTTTATCAGCTGAAGGAGCTTTTGGGCTGAGACTATAAATTTTTCTAGATATAGGGTCATGTAGTCTGCAAACAAGGATAGTTTGACTTCCTCTCTTCCTTTTTGGATGCCCTTTCTTTCTTTCTCTTGCCTGATTGCTCTGGCTAGGACTTCCAATACTATGTTGTATATGAGAGAGTGCATCCTTGTCTTATGCCAGTTTTCAAGGGGAGTGCTTTCAGCATTTGCCCATTCAGTATCATGTTGCCTGTGGGTTTGTCATAGATGGATCTTATTATTTTGAAGTATGTCCCTTCAATATTTAGTCTATTGAGAGTTTTTAACATGAAGAGGTGTTCAATTCTACTGAAAGCCTTTTCTGCACCT